GAATACTGTTGCTGTCTTTCTTAGTATACTGTGTCTTTCTTAGATTATTGTTGCTGTCTTTCTTAGAATACTGTTGCTGTCTTTCTTAGATTATTGTTGCTGTCTTTCTTAGATTATTGTTGCTGTCTTTCTTAGATTATTGTTGCTGTCTTTCTTAGTATACTGTTGCTGTCTTTCTTAGTATACTGTTGTCTTTCTTAGATTATTGTTGCTGTCTTTCTTAGAATACTGTTGCTGTCTTTCTTAGATTATTGTTGCTGTCTTTCTTAGATTATTGTTGCTGTCTTTCTTAGAATACTGTTGCTGTCTTTCTTAGATTATTGTTGCTGTCTTTCTTAGATTATTGTTGCTGTGTTTCTTAGAATACTGTTGCTGTCTTTCTTAGTATACTGTTGCTGTCTTTCTTAGATTATTGTTGCTGTCTTTCTTAGATTATTGTTGCTGTCTTTCTTAGAATACTGTTGCTGTCTTTCTTAGATTATTGTTGCTGTCTTTCTTAGGTTACTGTTGCTGTCTTTCTTAGTATACTGTTGTCTTTCTTAGATTATTGTTGCTGTCTTTCTTAGGTTACTGTTGCTGTCTTTCTTAGTATACTGTTGTCTTTCTTAGGTTACTGTTGCTGTCTTTCTTAGTATACTGTTGTCTTTCTTAGATTATTGTTGCTGTCTTTCTTAGAATACTGTTGCTGTCTTTCTTAGAATACTGTTGCTGTCTTTCTTAGATTATTGTTGCTGTCTTTCTTAGATTATTGTTGCTGTCTTTCTTAGTATACTGTTGTCTTTCTTAGATTATTGTTGCTGTCTTTCTTAGATTATTGTTGCTGTCTTTCTTAGATTATTGTTGCTGTCTTTCTTAGATTATTGTTGCTGTCTTTCTTAGTATACTGTTGCTGTCTTTCTTAGATTATTGTTGCTGTCTTTCTTAGGTTACTGTTGCTGTCTTTCTTAGTATACTGTTGTCTTTCTTAGATTATTGTTGCTGTCTTTCTTAGAATACTGTTGCTGTCTTTCTTAGATTATTGTTGCTGTCTTTCTTAGTATACTGTTGTCTTTCTTAGATTATTGTTGCTGTCTTTCTTAGAATACTGTTGCTGTCTTTCTTAGATTATTGTTGCTGTCTTTCTTAGTATACTGTTGTCTTTCTTAGATTATTGTTGCTGTCTTTCTTAGTATACTGTTGCTGATTTCTTAGATTACTGTTGCTGTCTTTCTTAGATTACTGTTGCTGTCTTTCTTAGTATACTGTTGCTGTCTTTCTTAGATTATTGTTGCTGTCTTTCTTAGATTACTGTTGCTGTCTTTCTTAGATTACTGTTGCTGTCTTAGATTACTGTTGCTGTCTTTCTTAGATTACTGTTGCTGTCTTTCTTAGATTACTGTTGCTGTCTTTCTTAGATTATTGTTGCTGTCTTTCTTAGATTATTGTTGCTGTCTTTCTTAGATTATTGTTGCTGTCTTTCTTAGATTATTGTTGCTGTCTTTCTTAGAATACTGTTGTTGTCTTTCTTAGATTATTGTTGCTGTCTTTCTTAGATTATTGTTGCTGTCTTTCTTAGAATACTGTTGCTGTCTTTCTTAGATTATTGTTGCTGTCTTTCTTAGATTACTGTTGCTGTGTTTCTTAGAATACTGTTGCTGTCTTTCTTAGTATACTGTTGCTGTCTTTCTTAGATTATTGTTGCTGTCTTTCTTAGTATACTGTTGCTGTCTTTCTTAGTATACTGTTGCTGTCTTTCTTAGATTATTGTTGCTGTCTTTCTTAGTATACTGTTGCTGTCTTTCTTAGATTATTGTTGCTGTCTTTCTTAGTATACTGTTGCTGTCTTTCTTAGATTATTGTTGCTGTCTTTCTTAGGTTACTGTTGCTGTCTTTCTTAGTATACTGTTGCTGTCTTTCTTAGTATACTGTTGCTGTCTTTCTTAGATTATTGTTGCTGTCTTTCTTAGATTACTGTTGCTGTGTTTCTTAGAATACTGTTGTTGTCTTTCTTAGTATACTGTTGTTGTCTTTCTTAGTATACTGTTGCTGTCTTTCTTAGATTATTGTTGTTGTCTTTCTTAGATTATTGTTGCTGTCTTTCTTAGATTATTGTTGCTGTCTTTCTTAGATTATTGTTGCTGTCTTTCTTAGAATACTGTTGTTGTCTTTCTTAGATTATTGTTGCTGTCTTTCTTAGTATACTGTTGCTGTCTTTCTTAGATTATTGTTGTTGTCTTTCTTAGATTATTGTTGTTGTCTTTCTTAGATTATTGTTGCTGTCTTTCTTAGAATACTGTTGCTGTCTTTCTTAGATTATTGTTGCTGTCTTTCTTAGATTATTGTTGCTGTCTTTCTTAGTATACTGTTGCTGTCTTTCTTAGATTATTGTTGCTGTCTTTCTTAGATTATTGTTGCTGTCTTTCTTAGGTTACTGTTGCTGTCTTTCTTAGTATACTGTTGTCTTTCTTAGATTATTGTTGCTGTCTTTCTTAGATTATTGTTGCTGTCTTTCTTAGTATACTGTTGCTGTCTTTCTTAGATTATTGTTGCTGTCTTTCTTAGAATACTGTTGCTGTCTTTCTTAGATTATTGTTGCTGTCTTTCTTAGTATACTGTTGTCTTTTTTAGATTATTGTTGCTGTCTTTCTTAGGTTACTGTTGCTGTCTTTCTTAGTATACTGTTGTCTTTCTTAGATTATTGTTGCTGTCTTTCTTAGATTATTGTTGCTGTCTTTCTTAGTATACTGTTGTCTTTCTTAGATTATTGTTGCTGTCTTTCTTAGGTTACTGTTGCTGTCTTTCTTAGTATACTGTTGCTGTCTTTCTTAGATTACTGTTGCTGTCTTTCTTAGATTATTGTTGCTGTCTTTCTTAGTATACTGTTGCTGTCTTTCTTAGATTATTGTTGCTGTCTTTCTTAGAATACTGTTGCTGTGTTTCTTAGAATACTGTTGCTGTCTTTCTTAGGTTACTGTTGCTGTCTTTCTTAGAATACTGTTGCTGTCTTTCTTAGGTTACTGTTGCTGTCTTTCTTAGGTTACTGTTGCTGTCTTTCTTAGTATACTGTTGCTGATTTCTTAGATTACTGTTGCTGTCTTTCTTAGAATACTGTTGTTGTCTTTCTTAGTATACTGTTGCTGTCTTTCTTAGAATACTGTTGCTGTCTTTCTTAGAATACTGTTGTTGTCTTTCTTAGTATACTGTTGCTGTCTTTCTTAGAATACTGTTGCTGTCTTTCTTAGGTTACTGTTGCTGTCTTTCTTAGTATACTGTTGCTGATTTCTTAGATTACTGTTGCTGTCTTTCTTAGATTACTGTTGCTGTCTTTCTTAGTATACTGTTGCTGTCTTTCTTAGATTATTGTTGCTGTCTTTCTTAGATTACTGTTGCTGTCTTTCTTAGATTATTGTTGCTGTCTTTCTTAGATTATTGTTGCTGTCTTTCTTAGATTATTGTTGCTGTCTTTCTTAGAATACTGTTGTTGTCTTTCTTAGATTATTGTTGCTGTCTTTCTTAGAATACTGTTGTTGTCTTTCTTAGATTACTGTTGCTGTCTTTCTTAGATTATTGTTGCTGTCTTTCTTAGTATACTGTTGCTGTCTTTCTTAGATTATTGTTGCTGTCTTTCTTAGAATACTGTTGTTGTCTTTCTTAGTATACTGTTGCTGTCTTTCTTAGAATACTGTTGCTGTCTTTCTTAGATTACTGTTGCTGTGTTTCTTAGAATACTGTTGCTGTCTTTCTTAGTATACTGTTGCTGTCTTTCTTAGATTATTGTTGCTGTCTTTCTTAGTATACTGTTGCTGTCTTTCTTAGATTATTGTTGCTGTCTTTCTTAGTATACTGTTGCTGTCTTTCTTAGATTATTGTTGCTGTCTTTCTTAGGTTACTGTTGCTGTCTTTCTTAGTATACTGTTGCTGTCTTTCTTAGTATACTGTTGCTGTCTTTCTTAGATTATTGTTGCTGTCTTTCTTAGTATACTGTTGCTGTCTTTCTTAGATTATTGTTGCTGTCTTTCTTAGGTTACTGTTGCTGTCTTTCTTAGTATACTGTTGCTGTCTTTCTTAGTATACTGTTGCTGTCTTTCTTAGATTATTGTTGCTGTCTTTCTTAGTATACTGTTGCTGTCTTTCTTAGTATACTGTTGTCTTTCTTAGATTATTGTTGCTGTCTTTCTTAGGTTACTGTTGCTGTCTTTCTTAGTATACTGTTGCTGTCTTTCTTAGATTATTGTTGCTGTCTTTCTTAGATTACTGTTGCTGTCTTTCTTAGATTACTGTTGCTGTCTTAGATTACTGTTGCTGTCTTTCTTAGATTACTGTTGCTGTCTTTCTTAGATTACTGTTGCTGTCTTTCTTAGATTATTGTTGCTGTCTTTCTTAGATTATTGTTGCTGTCTTTCTTAGATTACTGTTGCTGTCTTTCTTAGATTACTGTTGCTCAGTCTTAGATTACTGTTACTCTGTCTTTGATTACTGTTGCTGTTTTTCTTAAATTGCTGTTTCTGTCTTAGATTACTGCTGTTCTATCTTAGATTACTGTTACTGCCTCTCTTAGATCACTCTTGCTCCTCCCTCAGGTTCCTGGGTTACCTCAGTATGCTCTTCCTCCCTCAGGTTCCTGGGTTACCTCAGTATGCTCCTCCTCCCTCAGGTTCCTATGTTACCTCAGTATGCTCCTCCTCCCTCAGGTTCGTGGGTTACCTCAGTATGCTCCTCCTCCCTCAGGTTCCTGGGTTACCTCAGTATGCTCATCCCTCAGGTTCCTGGGTTACCTCAGTATGCTCCTCCTCCCTCAGGTTCCTGGGTTACCTCAGTATGCTCCTCCTCCCTCAGGTTCCTGGGTTACCTCAGTATGCTCTTCCTCCCTCAGGTTCCTGGGTTACCTCAGTATGCTCCTCCTCCCTCAGGTTCCTGGGTTACCTCAGTATGCTCTTCCTCCCTCAGGTTCCTGGGTTACCTCAGTATGCTCCTCCTCCCTCAGGTTCCTGGGTTACCTCAGCATGCTCCTCCTCCCTCAGGTTCGTGGACGCCAGAGATCGTAAACTGGTGAAGAAGAAAAAGTCGAGCAAGCACCGCGTGAGCAGTCGCGCCCTTATGAACCTTCACAACAACGAGGCTGGACGCAAGGTAGGTCCACACTCCCGTCTTTATCTTAGGTAATTTAGATCTTACTGCACCTCACTTACTCATTTCTGGAGAATTAGGTCGAAAATCCCATCTTCATCTTACCTAATTTAGATCTTACTGCATGTCATTTACTCATTTCTGGAGAATTAGGTCGACAATTACATCTTCATCTTAGGTAATTTAGGCCTTGTTTTGGCAACTTTGTGAGAGGAGAGTGATATACTCGATGAAAAGATGGCCGAAAACCCTACTTCTATCCAGGGAAATTTTGCCCTTATTTTCCAGCAACTTCTGAGTACGAAAGGGATTTACTCAGTTTTTAAGACTTAGGTCGATAATCCCACGTTTATCTAAGTTAAATGAGGCCTTAGAACCCTTCAACTTCGGGATAAGAATGTACTTCACTCATTTTGCATAGTAGGTTTATAACCCCACATAAAACTTAGGCAATTTAAGCCCTAGCATTTTTTAATTGCTTCACAGTGAGCAGGGTTGGTCGATGATCCCATCTTAAACTAAAGCAATTTAAGTCTTACTGGTTTACTCACCACATACAAGACCAGACACAAGGTCGATACATAAATGCTTTAACAAGGTAATTTGGGTCTTACTGCCCTGTGCATTGGGGGAAGAACGTGTTTTACTCGCCGCATGCTACAAGGCCGGACGCAAGGTCGTTGTGTAAATGCTTTAACAAGGTAATTTGAGTCTTAATGCCCTGTAACTTGGAACAAAGTAATTGAGGCAGTTATAACAACTTTTATGTAATGTGAACCTCGGCCACTTTTAATCTGAGGGAATAAAGTGCCTTTTTACACTCATCGTTCACAGCAACAGTCTGCTTGATCCACTCTAGAGAAACTCTCAAAACCTTTCACAGGTGTGACACAGGTATGACACAAGTATGACAGGTGTGACACAGGTATGACACAAGTATGACAGGTGTGACACAGGTATGACACAAGTATGACAGGTATGACACAGGTATGACAAGTATGACAGGTATGACACAGGTATGATACAAGTATGACAGGTGTGACACAGGTATGACACATGTATGACAGGTGTGACACAGGTATGACAGGTGTGACACAGGTATAACAAGCATGACAGGTGTGACACATATGACACAGGTATGTCCTCTAATACTCAAGCAACCATCGCCTTGTACACACCACAGGTACAATATACTACACAACGCCCTGGAAAGCTGGACAAGCAAAGATCTGTCAACATTATGAAAGACTGACTTGCTTTCTTAGGTCTAAGACGAAGTTCTAAGACCCATACCTGGCACCACCCCCTCCCCCACCCCCACCCCCATGATATGTAGCACAACAGGCAGACGACTCGACCACCCAACTAGCCAACAAAACACTTAAAGAATCTTCGCAGCCTCACCCACAGGTACTCACCACGCTTGCGACAGGTAGACTGCTGGTGTTTTGTTTGTCAGGAAATATCACAGTGTCACCTGACACGGGTTTTAATGAGGTGATGACCTCTTCAGTGGTTAAGAATACAAAACACACACACCCACCCACCTACACACACACACACACACACACACACACACACACACACACACACACACACCTGGTCAAGCACGTCAAGAAGTTAGAGAAAGTACAAAGGTTTGCAACAAGGCTAGTCCCAGAGCTCAAGGGAATGTCGTACGAGGAAAGGTTAAGGGAAATCGGACTGACGACACTGGAGGACAGAAGGGTCAGGGGAGACATGATAACGACATACAAGATACTGCGGGGAATAGACAAGGTGGACAGAGATAGGATGTTCCAGAGAGGGGACACAGGGACAAGGGGTCACAACTGGAAGCTGAAGACTCAGACGAGTCACAGGGACGTTAGGAAGTATTTCTTCAGTCATAGAGTTGTCAGCAAGTGGAATAGCCTAGCAAGTGAAGTAGTGGAGGCAGGAACCATACATAGTTTTAAGAAGAGGTATGACAAAGCTCAGGAAGCAGAGAGAGAGAGAGGATCCAGTAGCGATCAGTGAAGAGGCGGGGCCAGGAGCTGAGTATCGACCCCTGCAACCACAATTAGGTGAGTACAATTAGGTGAGTACACACACACACACACACACACACACACACACACACACACACACACACACTGTGAGTTAGGAGAGTTATCAGGGCTGGAACAGATATAGAGGTCACTTCCGGCCTACATAGAGCCTATAAAACATTTCAGTTACCGGAAACATCTCAGAATACTAAATATGTACTTAATAGTGCCGACGAGATAGAGATAGAGAGAAAGATGAAAATTTATACGTGGAGGGGTATTTGAGGTCCAAGTCACAAATTTGCACACTGCAATAACAATATACTGGAGTGAGAGACATTGCAGAAAATGTACAATAAACCCAGTGAAAGGCTGGGGCACCATGGACACAGTTAGGGAACACTACATCAACATCCGTGGGGCCAGACTAGTGAACACTCCACCAGAAGATAACAGAAACACTGCTGGAATAAGAGGAAAGTTTTCATGAGGAAACTAGACAAGTACAGTCGCCAATAGTAGATCAACCAGGCTGTGATGAATACGTGGGTAAGCTGGCCGCTGGCAGTAACAGCCTAGTTGTTCAGGCAAGCAATAGACAAACCTGGCCCAGAGCAAGGCTGCGAGAGCAGGAAAACTCTAGCAACCCATCAAAAGTAAAAGTGCTTGTAAACGCTCGAACAAGTCCAAAGGTTTGCAGCTAGACTAGTGATAGAACTGAGAAAGATGCACTATGATGAGACGTTGAAGAAACTGAACCTGACGACCTTTGAGGAGAGAAGGACAAGGAGAGACATGATCACTACGTACAAAATTTTAAGAGAAATTGATAGGACAGACAGGGACACACTGAATTAAGAGGACCAGGATCAAGGTGACACAGGTAGAAGCTGAAGACACAGATGTGTCATAGTGATGTCAGGAAGTATTTCTTTAATCTTAAGGTGGTTGAAAAGTGGAGTGACTTGAAGGACACAGTGGTGGAGGCAAACTTAATACACAGCTTCAAGACTAGATATGATAAGACCCAAGAAGCCAGAAGTTATGTTGATCAAGGTGGTCTAGGAGGCGAGGACCAGGAGCTACCTGTATACCACATTTATTAATTGGATAATAATAATAATTATTATTACAGTCCCTAAACCCGTACGACTCACAGCGACTGGGGTGATAAGAGGTAATTAGAATTAATCCTAAACTAAAGGGTTGTCTAGCTCCAATTCCTGGGATCCAGGGCCTTCATCAGCATGAAGAAGTGGTGCATGACGAGTGACAGACACCTGAATATTTTAGTCACCCCGTCCATCTGGAGGGCAATGGACCCCTAACTAAGGTATTCAATTAATCAGTAAGAGAGACGCTGCCGGGTGAGACCAACTTGTGACTTCTGCCTTATTTGTCATACTTTTTTGGTCACAGACCGAGAGACACTTGGACCCAGACCAACTGACCTTTCATGCTCAGACCGACAAACAATATACAAAAAAGGTTTCCTTTTCTAGTATTATCATTCTTTCCTTCTTCTTCTTCTTCTTATTATTATTATTATTATTATTACTACCATTATTTTATTATTATTATTATTATTTTATTATCACACTGGCCGATTCCCACCAGGCAGGGTGGCCCGAAAAAGAAAAACTTTCACCATCATTCACTCCATCACTGTCTTGCCAGAAGGGTGATTTACACTACAGTTTTTAAACTGCAACATTAACACCCCTCCTTCAGAGTGCAGGCACTGTACTTCCCATCTCCAGGACTCAAGTCCGGCCTGCCGGTTTCCCTGAACCCCTTCATAAATGTTACTTTGCTCACACTCCAACAGCACGTCAAGTATTAAAAACCATTTGTCTCCATTCACTCCTACCAAACACGCTCACGCACGCCTGCTGGAAGTCCAAGCCCCTCGCACACAAAACCTCCTTTACCCCCTCCCTCCAACCTTTCCTAGGCCGACCCCTACCCCGCCTTCCTTCCACTACAGACTGATACACTCTTGAAGTCATTCTGTGTTGCTCCATTCTCTCTACATGTCCGAACCACCTCAACAACCCTTCCTCAGCCCTCTGGACAACAGTTTTGGCAATCCCGCACCTCCTCCTAACTTCCAAACTACGAATTCTCTGCATTATATTCACACCACACATTGCCCTCAGACATGACATCTCCACTGCCTCCAGCCTTCTCCTCGCTGCAACATTCATCACCCATGCTTCACACCCATATAAGAGCGTTGGTAAAACTGTACTCTCATACATTCCCCTCTTTGCTTCCAAGGACAAAGTTCTTTGTCTCCACAGACTCCTAAGTGCACTGCTCACCCTTTTCCCCTCATCAATTCTATGATTCACCTCATCTTTCATAGACCCATCCACTGACACGTCCACTCCCAAATATCTGAATACATTCACCTCCTCCATACTCTCTCTCTCCAATCTGATATCCAATCTTTCATCACCTAATCTTTTTGTTATCCTCATAACCTTACTCTTTCCTGTATTCACTTTTAATTTTCTTCTTTTACATACCCTACCAAATTCATCCACCAACCTCTGCAACTTCTCTTCAGAATCTCCCAAGAGCACAGTGTCATCAGCAAAGAGCAACTGTGACAACTCCCACTTTATGTGTGATTCTTTATCTTTTAACTTCACGCCTCTTGCCAAGACCCTCGCATTTACTTCTCTTACAACCCCATCCATAAATATATTGAACAACCACGGTGACATCACACATTCTTGTCTAAGGCCTACTTTTACTGGGAAATAATCTCCCTCTTTCCAATATACTCTAACTTGAGCCTCACTATCCTCGTAAAAACCCTTCACTGCTTTCAGTAACCTACCTCCTATACCATACACCTGCAACACCTGCCACACTGCCCCCCTATCCACCCTGTCATACGCCTTTTCCAAATCCATAAATGCCACAAAAACCTCTTTACCCTTATCTAATACTGTTCACTTATAT